AGTTTATGCATCAAAACATATAGATCACCTAGTGTAACTCAAACTGCTGAATGACTGTTTTTTTCCTAAATCCACTCAAAGTGCAGTGTTTACACCCAAACTTTTATTGGGCTCAGAATGTTGTCTTTTTAGTTAAACTTTCCAATGTTGAAAAGTGATGTCCAGGCTTTTCTTTTGCTTACAGGTTTTTTTTTGTGCCAAGGTTTTTTATTTTTTATTTTGCTTTTGTTTGTTTGKTTGTTTATTTGCTTGTTTGTTTGGTTTGTTGGTTGTCTGTCTGTGCACAAGATTACTCCAAAAGCCATGGACAGATGTTGATGAAATCTTCAGTTTAAGTTCAGATTGTCTCAGAGAACAACTTGTTAAATTTTGGTGGTGATCTGTTATTTGTAAAGAGTCTAAAAAATCTACAGAAAGAGGAAGAAACAGACGATCAGAAAAAACAGAGCCAGAGGCTGATGATGATGTCATACTGCAACAACCAATCAGCATCCAACAGAACTTTGTTGTTGTTCGACCAATCACAGCTCAGCAGCTGCATGCTCTCATTTACATGACCGAGGGTCTTTRCGGAGGTCTTCGCTCTCCGAGTTCTTTTAGTTTGAACATTTTGCTTTATGTTTTTCTGTCTAATTAAGAGKGCTGTCAGGGAGTGACAGACACATGTTCCTGTAACCATGGTGACACCTGTGACCCTCTCACTGCCAGAAGCTTTAACCTTTCTTTCGATCTTGGTTAACGCTTTTTATAGTTTAGATTTTAAAAAAGTTTGCATAATTTTTTTTAATCTCAGGTTGTTACAGAACTAAGTTCCAAAAAAACTGTTAGGCTTAACAGGAAAAACGATTTGATGTATGTTGGATTTTTAGGCAGTGATTTTATTGAAACCCTTCAAAAACATTTCTTTGTAGGTTTTCTGTTAGTTCTTTACCTTCTGATTACAACAGTTGTTTTCCACTCATATTTAACTGGAAGGTGTCTTTTTTTGTCCAATTTATTACTCTTTTTGTTAAGTTACACAAACAAATCCTCCATTTATTCTGATTATTCTTTTCAAGCCATGATGTTGATGTGAAGACTGATTAAGCCAGGGCTCAATCTTCTGACTTCTGACTTTGTCATCAACTCTAGATCCTCTGTTGTTTTTGTTTCAGTGATCGCCAGCTGGTGTCTGTTTTCTCTTGTAAATTCTACTTTAGGGTTTATATTTTAAACGTATATGAATGAGTTCTTGTACGTCTACAGAAAGAAAAATACAAGAAACTGCGGATCAGCCCTTTTCTCACAAGCATTATCCTCCTTCCTGTAACCGGGTTGTGTTCATCTAGACTTTTAACAAAAGCAAAGAATCTATATTTCCATTCTGACGAAATGATCACCATACAGCCTACGAACCAAAAATAACTCCACCACTGGTGTGTACGGCTGATGAAGATGAGTGGGAGAGACAGTAAACGTTTCTGTCCTCAACATGTTTCACAAGTTTGAGGTTTTCAAATAGAGCTTGAATGAAGTTCCCCCTCATGATGTAACAGACTAAATGTTTTCAGTCACAGAGCAGAATGTCACTTGTTTCAGATTTTTAACCTCTTTTCCGTTGACATTTTGGGTTTTATCGAACAGAAACGTTCGTTTCTTCACTTTCAGACGCAGCGGCCTGAGTTCAGGTAACCTCCGTTGGTTAAACGGTGCTTGAACCTGAATTTMAAAAAACAAAAAGACTTTAGAGAACACATCGATTGCTGAGGGAAACCCTCCGTAGGAGACAATGGAGGATGAGCGATTGGCAGATAGATGTGAAAAGAGTGAATCACCCAGGTTTAGTCTTTTCTCTCTTTCAGTAATGACACGATGTGAGACACACTCCCTCGTAAGGTGAGTGACTAACGAGGGAGTCCTCACTTTCAGGTGTTTTCCATCAAAATCACAAGTCATAAACAGAAAAACACTGTCCCCTCTGAGGAAAGCCAAAAAGCCCTGTTAAAATGACGTTTTGAAGCGTTTGAACTCTGAAGAACAGTAATTTGTTTCAGTCGTTCTGCAGAGGAAATAAAAGCTTGTTTCATTCGGAGCTGGGGAGGAACAGAAGCAGGTGTGAACCCTTCATGAAGGCAGTACAGAGGCGAGCAGAGAAACCTCAGAGAGACACATGAGACGTGTGTGAGCTGGTTGTTGTGTCCTTGTTGTGGTTCCTGTCTACAAAACCACCTCAGCAGTGAGTCTGTAGTGCATTGATCCTTTAAACTGGTCCTCAGTCATTGTTAGAGGAGGTGGTTTTCATTTTAAAGATATGGAAAATAGATGTTGTATGATCCTCTGTAATCTGTGCTGTTATTCTGAAACATGTCCCATTATTACCATCAGTGTGTTTCAGGCTTTAGTTTTCTGCTTTGAGCTGTGTTTTCATGTTTGTTTCTGCTGCTGGTCTCCTGCTTGGTACACCTGTCACAGCTGCAGCCTCTTCTCTCAACAACCCCAGGTTTTTTTTTACCCACACAGTGAAATATGTTTGGCACTGCTCTGGCCCCCACACTTGGCCCAGGTACTGCAAGGAATGACGGCCCTTTGGTGGGCCACACTTGATCTGCCAAAGGTGGTCCATGCATGGACCAGCACCACATAAAGCAAACTACAACTGGGCCAGTTGTGGCATACCAAAAATAGTCCCATCATTGCAAGACCTGGCTCACATGCAATTGACAAGTGGAGCATTGTGTGTTCTTCATGCCGCTTCCAGTTATTCCTGTTTCCTCGTGTCTTCTCATGCCACCTTATCCCCGTCCTCGGTTTGTAAGTTCTGCGGCCATGCCATTTTTAGAAAATAGTTTTATGTTTTAAGCTCAGCCTGAATTCTGGGGTTCAGAACGTCGCAAACCATGACACCGATTTTGGACATTATGTTATTAAAGTCGTTTTAGGAAGTTTGGTTCCAAAGAAAAGCTTGTGATGGTTGGGTTTTAGTTTCATTTATTTGCAGATTCACAAACTGTTTATTTATGCTACTTTCGAGCTCAAGTTCTTCATTTTGAAAAATTTCCTTCTGATTACCACAGTTTATTTTTGTCAGCAATGCAGTTATGTTCAGCCAAATACACAGTAAGAAAAAAACAGAAGTTAAATTTCTGCTTTTTGAATAACGACGTCAATTTGGCTGCTTTAAACTGGAGATACATAGTTTGTTTAGCTTCTTCACAGATTTGCACGAATCAAAGAATTTTTCGAACACAAAAATAAATCCCTGATTTTCTGGTGATGGAGGGCTTTAAAAACCAGAACCGGAGCATGTAACACTACAGAACTTCGCTCAGACTTTAGAAATTTAAACGGATAAATTCCTGTTGCTCAATTACAAAGATGGTTTTTCTGGACAGTTTGTAGAAATATGCATCGCTCTAAATGTTTTTACAGAAACTCTTTATAGAGCAGAGATTGTTTCAGACACACAAAAATAAAACGTAAAGTTTTCCTTTTGCAGATAACAGAAATCTGTTTGTGTAATTTCCCAAATTTAGTCCAGTTTGATATTTTTCAACAGTTTTTGCCATTTATAGAAAAAAACAAACAAACAAAAATTCAGTTAGATAAAAGCATGAGGCAAAACTTTTGTTAACCTTAGCAAAGCTTTCGGCAGAACTTTTTCAAGCTACAAACAATTTATGTCCAAAAGCTTTTKGTCTAAAATCCAGTGAAACTCTTCACCACACGAATGACTCGCGTTTAAGATTTACAACTAGTTTGTCTAAAAAAAAAAGAATTACCTTAATTTTGACAAAGACAGAGTTGGATTTGAGCGGTTTTACTTCAAGCTGCTGCTTTAACAGAACGATCAGATTAACGTCCAATAAAGAGTTTTTTAAGTTAAGTCTGTGTAATGTGTACACTGTGTTTTAGTACACAAAGAATGATGATTGTGTTTTTGTTAAGGGCACGTTATAATGTTTTATACAACTTATGCCATCTTATGAAATTTTTATTATGACTAAAATACTCATATATTGGATTTTATTGTTAGCTGTACGTGCACTTCCAAGAGACCTCTAGTGAAGTTTTCTTATTGTAGACGTCTTCAGTGTTGGACRTTTTTATAAGTTGTCTAAAACGTTATTGTGTGACTGCGCCTTTACTTGCACAAAAGGGTGTAGAATTTATTTTGTCTTTACAGAAACATCTTTTATTTTCACATAAAATTCCTAATGTTTCCTTCAGATATCAAACCAATGCGATCTTTTAAGTTTTTGACTTTGAGATGATTTTTGACAAAGAGCCGGCTGACGAGTAATTTCAATTTCTAAATTTTAATAAATTTGATCAAAACTTGTTAAAGATGGAAAAAAAAGGGTGAGTTGAGACAACGGGGTGTTTTGTTGCTGGAAGTTTTAAGTCTAAAAACATTATAGTTCCTAATTTCCTCTGTTATGTATCGGCTAAAAATGTCACAGGATAATATTTTCTCTCAAGTCGTTCATTGTTATATTTTTGTTTTTGTCCAAATTTTGTCAGTTTTTGTAACATTTAGGATTTTCATGAACATCGCTCTGTTGGTTCAGGTTTGATATTTTCTGTGTATCTTTAACGGCACAAAAAAAATTATAAATAAGAAGGAATAAAGTGAAAAGTCACTTTGAAGTCATAAATTATCAAGATTTGATGATAAAGCTACTCAGACTTTGTAACAAGTTTTATGACTCATCGATATTTTTACGTTTGATAATCTGAAATTAAGCTAAAAGAAAATTGAAATTACTGAATAAATACATGATCCTAACAATATAATTAGTATTAGTTTGTTGGGCTGGTTGCTTTTGCTGTTTATAAAGTTGCAGCATAAATTATTTTTGGACAGGTCTCACCCTCTTCCTCTGGATCAACCAATCAAAGGTAATTTTTCTGCCTCCAGCTCGGACTAACAGTTGTGTGTTTTTGTCTSCAGACCAATCGCTGCAGTGGGAGGTGCAAAGCTGCTTAAAAAGAAGGTTCATTTGATAAATATAAAGCATTTCCGCCTGACTCCGGATCCCTGAACACGTTCGGGCCTCAGACACTCTGTGACGATTGTAAGTATGCTTTAGAAAGTAAATGTTGGGTTTTGACTCAGATTACTCTTTGTTTTATGTATAAGTACTTACAAACTATTGTATTTTTAAATGTTTTTGAGTCATGAACTTACAGGCGATCAACAGGCGTAACGAGGCCTAAACTATATTTTTATTTATTAGAATATTTTTAGTTCAAATAACACAAATGGAACTCAGCAGCATGTTTTTTTCTTCTGTTAATTTATTACAAAAGAAAAATATAAAATAATAACAAAATACTGAATCCCAAAAACACATACAGACACACACAGACAAAACATAATTAACAGACACTGAGACGTAATTTTATAAATGACTTTTTATGTACTGTTTTGTCTCTTTTGATTTTCTTGTTTACGGAGAATGAATTTAAAAATCAGGTAAGTTCTGGGCAGCTGACCGCTACAGAATGAAACAACGCTCTGCATCCCGCTACATTCATTATTTATTTATTTATTATTATTATTATTATTTTTACAAAAAATGAATTTAAATACAATTACATTATAATAAAAATGTAACAAAATTGTTATGCAAATGCTTTATTTTGCATAAACTTGTACAAACATAATATTGTGAGCAAATTATGAGGTCATATTATCCATTCTGACGCGCTCAGAAAAGCACAGTTTACAACTTTACTGCCAACTAACAGCTATATTTCTTTTTCTCTTTCTTTCTTTTTTTATTAAACAAGGGACTTCAGCAGATTTATTAATTTTATTAACTGCACAAGCATTATGTTTACATTCTGCACTGTAAAAAGTGAAATGTTGGATTTACTTAACCATGTTATGTGACCTGGTTCCACTTAACTGAGTTGAGTAAATTCAAAGCAATATACCAGTTTTTTAACCAAAGAGCATGAGCATGTTGCTTTGAATTTACTCAACTCAGTTAAGTAGAACCAGGTCACATAACATGGTTAAGTAAATCCAACATTTCATTTTTAGAGTGTGTCTGTCCTGTTTTTCTTCGTCTTTTCCCCTCTGTTGTGTTTGACCTTCATCCTCCCTTCCCCTCCTCTTCGTCACTTTGTTGAAGCTTCATCCTGCTGCAGAGATGTGACTGTCGTGGTTTTCTGGGTTCAACTTTTTCAGGTGCAGAAACTGAAGGTTTCCTCATCATCGATCTCATTCTGACTCACAGTTCAATTCAATTCAATTCAGTTTAATTCAATTCAGTTCAATTCAATTCAGTTTATTTATATAGCGCCAAGTCACAACTCAGGGCACTGTACATAAAAAGAACAATCTAAAGAAGAAGCCAGCAGACCGTGTTGAATCACTTCATCACAGTCTCCAATCCTGAACAGTTCAGTCTTACTGAGATGTTACAAAATAAATAAGAAAACAACTTATTTGTTTGTTAAATCACGTGTGAGCGGTGACACAAAATAGTTTCATGTGATATTATAAGTCTGTGGTTCTCAAAGTTAGGGTCGGGATCCCATTTGAGGTCATGAAAGACCAACTTAAGATCCAATAAGGTCCTGAGAAAATCTGCAATATTCAAATTCACTTTAAAATAGACTGCGAGAATATTTAGCCTTAAATTTTACATTAAAATAGTGATCATAAATGGGATTTTTTAAATAATAAAAAGGCTTGTTTACTTTAACTAAATAGTCGAGGTGATGAATCTCCGTAAATTTTGTTTTGTCTGTAAAAATGAAGAAAAGTTTGGGAATGACAGATAAACATCAGTCTGGGCACAAACAGGTCAAATAATGTTAACAATAATATTTTTCTTTTGTTTTCATCGTTTGATCAGACACATTAATAAAATGCATGTTTAAATATGATTTTGACAAATTAAACATTTTCGTTCAAATGGTTACCCAAAAGACTTTAAAAAACAAATGAGAAAACTGATCAGGTGAGAAATAAAATGTCTTCGAAAAATAATAAAACAATAATTTGAGATGTTTAAATTAATCAGAATCACAGGATGATTGAACCGTCACCAGCACAGACTTTAAACTTTATGTAAATTTGACTTTTATGATCGGAAAACAAAATTAGTGATATTCAGTTAAAGTGTTTGTTAAAACACACTCAAAAACATATATAATGGATTTAATTTAAAAAAACAAGTCAGCTGATTACTTGCAACTGAATTGAGTAAAAACGTTACATTATAAGTAAATGAAAAGTTCATGTAAAGTACTCAATTCAGTTGTGTGGAACCAGCAGACATAATGGGCCTCATGCAAGAACCGTTCGTACGCACAGATTTGTTCTTAAATTGTGCGTACGAGTGATTTAGGAAAATTTGTGGCATTCACCAATGTTTTCGTATTCTACGATTTTTTTCAGGTACGAACAAAATTCACGAGTGGTCCAGACCTGTCGTATATTTTACGAGCAGTCAGTCTGCTGTTATCCAGACTGATTTTTCTTCATTAACAACTTTATATTTCGTTAGTTTGAAGATATTTTGAGTTGAAAATAAATCACACTCCATAATTATGTTGACAATAGGCTATTCTGCTTGAATTAGAGTTATAATTTTAAATGTAGTAATTTAAACTAACAATATAAATTGTCCATCCGTCCATTTTCTGCCACTTATTCGGGATCGGGTCGCAGGGGGCAGCAGAGAGACCCCGCGCTCTCCCCAGCGACACTTTCCAGCTCGTCCTGGGGGACTCAAGACGTTCCCAGGCCAGAGGGGATGCATGATCCCTCCAGCAACTCCTGGATTTCCTCCAAAGTGCCAGACTTGTTTTGAAAACATTTTAAAATGCTTATTTCAGAATCGCAACTGAGACCAACTGCGACCGCGTGTGTGTGTGTGTGTGTGTGTGGGGGGGGGGGGTACGGTGCACGACGGTGTGGCTTCTGAATAAATGAAAATGATTTAACACAGTTGTTTATACTTTTAGCAGCTCTTTTTATTCCACAGCTGAGCTGCTAAAAACGACAGATTTTCTTTTCTGGATCTCTGACAGACGGACTTCAATCTCTGAACTCGTAAAGTTCTTCTTTTTAATTATCGCTGTCATTTTTCATTAATGGACAATTCCTTGTATCTGAGGCAGGAAACATAGCCTTATATGGTGTTTTTGGGGTGGTAATTATGCTAATCTCCTCTCGCGTACACAAGCAGCTGGATACGAACAGGTGAAATTTATTTACACACTTTTCCTGAAGATAGAAGAGTTTGTTGAATCTGACGTGACATGTTCGTACGAACCCTTTGTATGAACAAAAGTAAGAGAAATTTAGGATAAGAATACRAACATGTTCTTGCATGAGGCCCAATGTTTTAATAAAATCCACTAAATCTGTTTTTGAGTGCATATTTTGAACAGTATATAAATAAATGAGTGAAATATAGCGAAGTGCGAGCTCACATAATCCTGGAGCATTGCGTCCTTGACTTTATTMTTTGTACCATCAGTCTTTTAGACACTTATATTCCTGAAACACCATTAAAAACTTTTAATCATCCATTTACTTTTTATTATTTAACGTTTTGTTTAATCTGTTTGGGTTAACTTTGTGAAAGCCAAATAAAACATGACAAATATTTAATCTGCATTTAATWTCTATCCTAAATATATTAATAAGATTAAATCAATCTCTTTCACTCCATCTTTGCGTCAAAATACTTCAAATATCATATAATTTATTGGTATTTAGTTAATTTTCATGGAGAATTTATATTTAAAACATTGATACACAAGCGTAACAATTTAAATGAACTCTTGAGGATGAGGTCGTATATAAGTATTGACTGTTTCATCTTTTAAATTCAATTCTTTCAGCATGTTTAGAACACAACCCTCAGAGTGTAAAGGAGGAGTTAAATGAAGGTAAAACAGGCAGAAAAAATGAGAAACATCTACATTAAACCACAGTTTAGGTACGCTGCCTGTGCTGTGGTCTCTCTTTCTTCTCTCTTTAAGCGAGGAGAGATCCGTCTTTCGTGGAACAGGGGAGGAAGAGAGGGGGTGTGAGAGGCAGAGGGGGGAGGATTGGGATAAGAATCTGCACCTTAACGAAATCAAGTCCCACCACAACCCAGCATTCGCTCCAAGTGCCTCTTTTCTTCAGTGTTTGTCTGCTCGTCTTCATCCYAAGCCCACCACAGGCCGCCTACTCTCATCTCTGTGAACACTTTGTCTTTTATCTCCTCAAATCTCTCTAAATCTGAGACCACCTCAAACCCACCATCACTTCCTGCTCAAGAATTTCACAATGTAGCAAAATCTGACTTCTGTATTTACAAAATAACATACAGTATTGTAAAAACTAATTAGTTAAAATGTTCATTTTAAAATAAGCAATTTGAATGTTAGTGTAAGTTTATTTTCTACATTCCTAATCTGGATGCATTTTGAAACTAATTTTACATCATTTTTCCTTATTATTTTATGTTTGTGAATAAAATCAGTGGCTAATTTTTAGTAGCATTATTAAAACTGCTATCCAAATACAAAGCACTGAAACTAAGTAAATGAACAAATGAACTAAAGAAATTTAGTTGTAAGTTATAAAGTGATTATTAAATTTCTGAACTAATCATGGACTCAAGAATGAAGCAATTATCTTTTGTGGCAATTTATTACAAAATCAAAATAAAGAAATAAATGCTACAGCAGATCACAAGTTCAACGGAGAAAATGTCTAAGTTGGCAATGATTAACACAAACAGGGTTTATATTTGGTCAGGTTTGCTTGCTTACAAAAGGAGACTGAAACGTATTATAGAATTTATTTTTGCATGTTTAAATTAAGTTACAAAATTTGCGACTGAGTTACAAAAGTTACAAAATACAAAAAGTTTGCGACTAATTGTTTTGAATAATTTGTTGAACAGTGGTGCGTCTGCTCAGCTAATAGTGAAACTGATCTTTCTTTTAGGTTTTTACTAACTTTGAAAATTGTTAGCTTGCCAATTAGGTTTTGCCAACTTTAAGTCAGCTAACAACTAACTAACAAACCAACATCAGCAGGTTTATGTCAGTCCCACCAGTCTTCAGCTGGAAGGAGATGAAGAAGTGTGACGCAGACTGAGTGACAATCATCTTAGCTATTAGCAATTAACTGTTACTGTTAGCTCCTGCTAATTTTTACTTGTAGTTTAGCAGTAGTGAAGTTCTGTGGATTTAGCAAAGCTGACATTTTGGTCAGCTGTGCCCWCCATTGGCTATAAGACCTATTCTTCATCACATCATGTTAAAATAGAACTAAATTATTGCACAAATAACAGTTTAGAAAACATTTTTGATCAACAAAGACTTGAGGTGTTCCGCAGGGCTCAATGCTTGGCATATTGTAATTTATTAGACTTTTTTTTATGGAAATTCTTGTCAAGATGGTTAAATATGGCTGTTCTGGCAGTTGGGAATTTATTCTTCTGTATTGTAGCTTCTAGTCTGTCTTCAGCATGCTTTACTGACTTTTAAAAAGATGTATTCAGCTGCTCTTCATCTTTCGGTGCTCTCTGAAATCAAACAAGAAGTGAGTAAAAAACTGCAAATCAGCTTAATAATTTCATTTAACTTGTTTTCTTCATTTTTTCTTTCAGGATTGTGATCAAAATGAAGAAGTTAATAAGGTTCCTCTTCTGTCTCATCACTGTGCTCCGAACAACTGGTACGGCACAAAGTACAGATGATTTTGTCTGAAATACTGCTTAGTTCTTTATATAAGCACTTAACATTTTTTTTATTTAATACTTATTACTTACTTATTTTGTAGGAGCTGAGGAGGTGATCTATGCTCAAGTGGGAGACACGGTTACCCTGAATATACGAACTCCGCCTGAAAACGGTTATTACATCCACTGGTATTTTGGTACTGAAAATGATAGATTTGCGTGGATCAACCACCTAGGTGGACAAAATGCTAATTTAGGTGAGAAAAGCACTGATAAAGTCAAAAACATTATTTATTTTTACCATTTACCAGTTAAACGTGCTTGTGTATGGCAACTTGAGTTTTTTTTTAAATAAGCGTTTTTTATAAGTCAAACCTTGTCTTGCAGCTGAAAAGTGGAAGGACAGGTTGATCTTGACCAGCAATTCACTGACCATAAAAAACATCCAAAATGAACATTTTGGACTTTTTTTTGTGTTAGTGAATCCGAAAAACCCTAAGACCAGATATAGACTGATCAAAGTCAGCGGTAAGACAAAAACTTTTATATGACATTTTATATTGAGTATGATGCAATTTTCAATTTAAAATGTTAAAATGTAGTGCATGTTGTCCAGAGTGTGTCGCTGAGAATTAGTTTTTCCTAAAGTCCAGTTTACCATGTCAAACAAAATCTTTTATACTTTTTAAAGTAAATAAATAAATAAATGAATCAACATACTTCAACCAAAACACTTTCTTATTCACCACCCACCACTCTAACACACAYTTATTTTGGAAAACTATACATTTTTTGACATGAAGGTTCCAACTCTATTCTTTTTATTTTGTACCAGTTGAAATGACTCCGCCCTCACCAGTGCTGCCCTCAGATTCTGTGGTTTTGAATTGTGCTGTGCAGACCCCTGWTGGTCTAACAAAACCCAACATTTACTGGATGAACCCACAAGAGAAAACTGAGAGGGGTGTTCAAGGAAAACTTCAGTTTAAGGCCGGAAGTCAACATAGTGGACAGTGGACGTGTGTAATAAAAGAAGAGAAAAAAATTCCTCTTTCAGTTKCTGTTGCAGGTGCGTTGTTTCGAGTGAAGAATAATCTGTTTATTTCATACATCTGTATCTTTACCTTGTAGATTAAAGTTTATTTCATGGCTTTTAGACTTCTCCCCAGCTCCACCGTCTCTGTATACGTCCAAAAGCTCCCCACTCAAGGTGCAATTTTTCATTACCCCCAACAACATGGTGCAAGAAATAATCCAGAAAATCAAGGAAGTGGAGTGCTTCTTCACCCCCAMARCATCCTCCCCTCAGAGGCTCTTCTCCTTCTGGCTGGGGAATAAAGAAGGGATGGCAAATGTGGACCAAAACAGAGGCCTGAAATACGCAAATTTCACAAAGGGTGGAGACATTACWTTGTCCAGACGTTTGGCGAGGGAAGACGATGGAGGGAACTACACCTGCACCGTAACGTTTCAGAACAGTTATACTCTGACAAGCAGTGTACAAGTGGAGGTGCTGCAAAGTAAGTCTTGTTTAAGTTTATTTGTTTGTTCAGTTTAATGTGTGTCAAAGTTAATGCCCGCAGGCCAAATCTGGCCCTCATTACAATTGCATTTTATCCGGACCCAAAGTTAACAATTTAAACATAAAATAGTTTGTATGGTTTCTGTTTTTGTCACATTCTTTTCATGACAGCTGGTCAACTTTCAAACCAAATAAATGAGGTTTAAAATTTTCAGTAATCTGTGATTTTGATGCAGAAAGAGCAACAGAGAATCAACTTTAATTCTTTTTTTCTGTGKTTTTTTTTATTTTAAAGTCAAATAAAAAAAATGAAAATGATTGATGGGGAGTTAGGTATTAAAATGAATGTTAATGGCATCTTTTTAAATYTAACCATTTTATCTGCTCTGTTATGTGTTCTAAATGTTACATAAGAGCATAATTTGGAAAAAGTTATTTGTTGTTCTATAAGAATATAACAGTCCTTAAATAAATAYTCACATAAATTGGCTCTTGGCTTGGACCGAGTCTTGAATTTAGCCCCCCTTGTGTATCTGAATTTAACCCCTCTGKGTTATTCTAAAGGTTTTCCTTTTAATTGTTAGAATATTTACTTCTTCATGGCAAGTTTTAGACAAGTTAATGCTCTTTGCTGAATGCAGGGCTGGATTGTAGARGGTGTGGACCCCTAGACTAGAGACATTTTTGGTCCCCACCTTTTTTTTTAAATCATACCAGCCACAACACGATCATGTGCACATAAACATCAAGGTTTCTGTTTACAGAATGAGCTGTTCCCTGCACAGGCTCTGACATTTTACCTATCAAAAATCTGAAGCATTAAACTATTTCATTATTTTTTCATATTAACATTTTGACAAAGTCTGCTGTGTTGAATTTCTTGTCAAGGAAACTAAACTCAAATTTGACACACGTCTGAAAAATGCATCGAAGCAGAAGACCAGCTGCTGTTTCGAGATGTTTTCACTTCAATCAGGCTGAGTTTAAATTGGAGACGTTTCTATTGGTTGCGGCTTAATCTTACTCCTTGTTTTTTATCACAGCCCTAGAAGCCTTGCTGATTCTCCCCAGTGTCATTTAATAAATAAGTTGTGTTTCAAACTCTATTAATTAAAAACATTAATTTCTGTAAGCCCTTTAAAAAGTCCAGATTTGGTGTTTTGTTTTCACGTTACATTTGAAACGTTTATTTTGAAGAACTCACTTTGATATGTTTTGTGATTCAGAAGCTTGTTAGTTCCAGTCGTGAACAATGAAAAGAAGAAGAAACTGAWGCGCGGCTAAACATGTTGATTTAGTCTGTAAAAGTTTTTGATTTCTTGTTATCTTATTCAGATGAGAGCAGCAAGAAATAAGTGTTGTTTGGTTTTGAATRTCAAACATGAAAGCTGTTTTATTACTGAAACTGGATCTTTCATTGTGTTTTTAACAAGTTGGTGTTTTTAAAACTGAAGATTTATATTCCTCTTCCTCTCTAGTCATCTCCTCTCCTGGACCAAAGCTAATTTCTGGCAACCCGCTCAATCTGTCTTGCACCATTGGAGATCAGCTGCCCCCTGAACTGAAGGTGAAGTGGTCCCACCCTAAAGGGTTGTCCCTGGAAGAAGCCAACCTCCTCGTCATCCCCAAGGTGAACACAGACGATTCTGGAACCTGGGAGTGTGAGCTGCTGCGGAACCAGACCCGCCTGACGTCAGCCAAGATCGAGCTGAACATCGGTGAGAGCAGGAACCAAGAGGAGAGCAGGAAATGAGATGGGCGTRAACCTGTGGCCACAAAGTTTCGTGACTGAGACGTGCACTGAAAAAAACTGATGTGCTGGATTTACTTAACTAAGTTATGTCAAACATCTCCACTTAACTTTCACATTTTATTAAAAAARTGAAATTTGCATTACACTTACTAAACTCAGTTGAGTGGAAATTGTTGACATAACTTGGTTAAGTAAATCCAACAATCTGTTTTTTGTTTTTTTTTGAGTGAGTGTGACGTGTTCAGGTGTGTGCTGATTGTGTCTCTGCTGCACACAGAGCCCATCCTGAGCGTGTGGATGCTGGTGACCATCTGCAGCGTCGGACTCATCCTGGTCCTCCTGCTTGTAGTGGCATTCATCCTCTACCGCCGACGACAGGTACGTTATTTTCTTTAGATTACACAACATAAACACTTTATATT